CATAAATCGCTACAATTTAGCCACTGACTAAAACTATCGTTATAAATTAGTGTATATTTTTATACTGAATCGAATGGTGGTATTTTCATCTACATAGCGTGCACTGAACCAATGATATGAACGAATTACATCCGTAGAACGTGCACGTTCTACGCGTAATGGCCCCAGCTGAGAAAGAGTTAATAGTCCTAGTTATAGAAGGCCCAGTGTAAGATTAGCTTTGCTAAACTGGTTTTTGTAATACCTTCTTTAAATAAAGTCTATCATTATTTATCATATCATCACATACAACCACTGCTTTGGCGAGTCTCAATCCATCCAGTTCCTCCATAAATTTAATTCTCCGCTATTTTCCACAGACAAGGTGAGCAATGTATACGTCAAGATTTTCTTGCACTTTTTCTTGCAATATTTTAATTTTGGAATAGGTAATAGGACCTCTACATGTGTCTTGGACCATTTATCTAATGGATTTCTTTTATTTTCAACGGGGTCTTGAAAGTAGACCATGCCGTAAAATATTGTATAAAAGGTGCACACGTATTATGTGTGTGTTGTTTTGTGTCTTTTTATGTAAATCCATTGTAGAAATATCGTAATTGAAGTTAGCATGTACTGTATGTAAAGTTATTACTTGGTAATTGATAGATGTAATTTGATGATGCACATGAATTTATCATGGTCAGATTTGACCATACTGCGATATTGCAAATTTAGAATTGGTAACAAGACTTGTGATTTTGTGTTGTGTAATTTTCCTGTATCTCATTTGAATAAATGGTTTTCTTAAATTTATCTTAACAGGGTCTGGAAAGTAGACCATGCATTGAGATATTTGTAAACTTAGTCCTTGTTTTATTTACACTGTACTGTTTCCGTAATCTGTCCATCACATGTAGTTAAGTCTATATGAGGATTGTAGGTTTATTCCTTAGTATTTAAGTATTCATTTTCCTGGCAGTAGTCAGAAATTTCATCTATAACTGAATTAATTGATCCATTGAAGTTTCTTCAATTTGATCCATATTTTGTACTAATCCTGTCTCGATTTCATGGTTATTCCCTGCATGCTTTCAATGTCAATATAACAATGATAAATATGAACATGTTATCGATCTTTGGAGTTACACTTGTTTTATATTTTGTTGACAATAAGGTCATGTATATGAGTATTTCCCCATTTTCTGGAACCAATGAAGTACTGATGGTTATCTCCAGCTCATCCTTATCTTGTGTAATAATTACAGAACTGACATGACATGTTTAAAATGACTTCATTACTCTGTTGGTGTTGCTGCAATGTATCACCACTTTCAATACCATGACCATTGTTTCGTTGGACCAACGGATATACATATGTTTTAGTTAAACATTAATAGAAACGTTTTGAGATGACTTCCATTTGATTGACATTTAAGAAATATAATAATATACATAACAATACTCAACTGTGATTGGTTGATTTCAGTGCACCTAATCCCAAACAGCAATGCAAAAATCTGTAACAACAGTACAAAAATGTGTAACAACAGTGCAAAAATCTGTAACAAACTGATCTGATTGGTGGGAAAAATTGTGATGATTAAATCAACCAATTTAGTTTAAAGGGAAATGGAAATATATTTTTTATTTTCTCATTTTAAAGAACACGAAAGAAATGAAATTTCCGCCATCTTGGATTTTTGTAGATATGCATGTTACGTCACAACAGGGGTCACGCAATATTTTTATCTAGACAACCACTAATCAATCACGATTATGAGTTTGCAAAAGAAGAGTCATGGCTGGACGATTGTCAAAATTTCCTTTTGAAAGTAGACATAGTCACAAAAAGTTATGTGGAAAATGTGGTACCCGGACATTTTGCCGAAAGACACTTTGCCGAAAGACATTTCGCCGAACAGACATTTTGCCGACGGTAATTTAGCCTAACAGACGTTTTGCCGAACGGACATTTTGTTGAACAGACATTTTGCTGAACGGACAGTTTGCCAAAAGGACAACTTGCCGAAAATAAATATGTTATTTCATCAAAATGTTTGGGACAGTGACTCATTTCTTAACTGTGTAATTCTCAACCATTGTGTAAAATAACCATTATATGGTCATTAGCAGAGCATAATAATGGTTGTTAGCAGTGCATAACCATATTGACTATTTGTAGCTTGTTTGTGCCGCGGATGACTCATTTGTTAGGAACGTGTTTTGACGTCAGATCGTAAACAAACAAGCGTGTATAAAGACGACGTAAGCGAATTTCACTTCGAGAATCATGGAACACATTCACAGTTCTCGGGGAAACTATTCATGAATGATATTGAATGATGTTAATGTTATAATTCTTTATATTGCGAATTTTTGGTAAACTTGTGAAAAACTTGAAAGAATATAAAATGAAACTATATATACTTCACTATCAGTTTCTGTCATCAAAATCGACAATTAATGACTTTAATCACAGAAACTTTGACCGTGCCGTAAGCAAACCTTTAAAGTTCAGAATGTATCTCTATTTTCGGCAAAATGTCCCTTTGTCAAACTGTCCGTTTGGCAAAATGTCCGTTCGGCAAAACGTCTGTTGGCAAAATGTCTGTTTGGCAATGTGTCTGTTTGGCAATGTGTCTTTCGGCAAAATGTCCGGCCACCGGAAAATGGAAAATGATAAAAAGGTTTATCTCAGGCAGTCGAGAAAGAGGTGCTTACAAGCTTTCAGGAATGACCGGAATGCAGAGCGGGAAATGGCAGAACACAGACAGTTAAGTACCAAAAATCAAAATGCGACTAATGTTGACAGCTCTGTGGAAAGCGCAAGTGATAATCCTATTGACAGTATACAGAACAGTGTAATTTCCAGCCAAAGTATAGAAGCCAGCAAATAACCAAGCTTTAAATGGTGCGATTGCGAATCAGGGTGAAGAACTTCCAGGCACCAAATCAGGAACTGTTTACAATGTGCAATCGTGCAAGTTTCAAATGGAAAACTGAAGTTGCCTAAGTTTTCAGGAAATGTATGAGAATATGCTATTTTCAAAGTGGATTTTAAACATGCTATCGAGTCCAGATATAGCAAACAAGGACTCAATAACTTTACTGCGAACTTGTTCAAAAGAAAAGCTCCCAGAGCTCATTAAAGGTATTGGGTCCGATTATGACGCAGCGTGGGAGTATTTGGACTCCATATACGGTGATGTAAGATTTGTTTCAGACAATCACGCAGGACATCGTAAAGTTCAGAGCTCTGCAAGAGGGAGAAGACACATGCTTCTGTGATCTTTTGTACACCTTGTAAAGCAATGCTACAATACCTTGAAAGAAGTTGGTGTTCCAAATGACATGGACAACAGTCATATGCTGTCCATTATTGAGAGGAAAATGTGTCCAAGCGACAGAAAGGTGTGGTTGAGAGATATCGAAAGAGAAAAGAAATCAGCAACACTGTATGGTCTGATGAGTTGGACGACCGTAGAGATAAAATCGTGAATGAGAGCAACGGGCCCCAGTCAGAACCGGTCAGACAAACTGTTGGGGTATTAATCAGTTAACTGGCGAATTTGGTGGTGAAGGTAAGAATTGGCATAAGTGTTTGGTTATGCCATAATTCAACCCACTGGCCAGATCGATGTAGGCTGTGGGCTGTTGGCCAAAATTATTTCGCTTTGTGGCACCCATGTGAGAAATACTTGGTTTGGGGTTTATTTGAAAGGCATATAGGTACATCACTACCAAAAAAAGTTCCCAAGCAAAAAGGTTGCCCAATCCTGAGAAAATGGGTGATCAATGATTATCCTCTATTAAATTGTATTACAGCAAAAAAAATGGGAAATTCTGTATTCAATTACAATAAAAATTATTTGCATCGTCGGAAAGCGTACAAAAAACCGCATATAAGACTTTTAAACAGTTTTTTGATTTTTCAAATAGTCTTTGAGTTGTTGCTGTTTTAAATGTGAAAATTGGACCAAAAACTCGCAATAAGGACTGGGTACTAGGTCAAAACGCGTTTTTGACAGCGTATAACTTGAAAACAATTTTAGATATAACAAAAAACTGTTTAAATGTCTTATATGTAGGTTTTTGTAAGCTTTCTGATAATGCAAGTCATTTTTGTTGCAATTGAATACAAAATTTTACATTTTCTTGCTGTAATACAATTTAATAGAGGATAATCACTGATCACCCATTTTCTCGGTGTTGGGCAAGTTTTTGGCTTGGAAACTTTTTGTGGTAATTAAGCATCTACGGTACTATGAATTGAACCACAGAAAATCAATTTCCCAGGAGGGTGCCATGAAATTGCTTTTCTAGGCACTTTTTCGCACAACAGCCCACAGCCTAATGTCCGAATTGGCTGTTATGGGTATTGATGAGCAGATGAATGTTGCCAGAGCCAACCATGTTTGTTTCATTTGTCTGAAGAAAACAGGAAGAGAACTCAAGCAAGCCAACTGTAAAAGAAAAAGGCAATGCACAAAATTAGACAATGGAATGCAATGTACCTCCTTCCATCATCCCCTACTACACCAGAGTAATGTGCTAATCAGTGTTGCATCGTTATCTGACGACCAAGAATCTATTATTCCAGTGGTTCCTGCCAACATATTTGGTCAGAACAGTATTCAGAAATGTGGTAGCATACTTTCCGATTCTGGAGCACAAATTAGCTTGATCCTTCAAGATACAGCTGACTGTTTGCACCTTAAAGGAAAGATATTTCAGTGACAATTACTAAAGTCAGCGGGACAAGAAGAAGAGTTGAAAACAAGTTCTTCGTATATTCTTTTCGATCAGAGGTCAACCCACAGTTATTAGTGACAATGGGACCCAGTGTGTGGGTGCAGAACGCCAGCTATGAGAAATGGTGACAGGATGGAACAAGGAACAACTCCGAGAGTTTTGTGCACAGAAAGGGATGAAGTGGACGTCTTCTTCCCCGAAAGCCCCTCTTCGCAATGGATGTGCAGAGGCCCTGGTAAAGAGTTGTAAGAGTGCCCAAAGGAAGTGATTGGCGACCAAGTCCTGACGTGATGCGAACTGTATATGTATTTGCTGGAATCTGCAAATTTAGTTAACCAATGCCCCATTGGCAGAGTGCCCAATGATCCAGACGATGGGTCGTATCTATGTCTGAATGACATACTCCTTGGCCAAGCAACATCCGAAGTCCCCAAGGTCAATTCAAACTGACAAAAAATCCCCGAGAAAAGTTTGAGTTTGTGTAAAAGTTGGTAGACTGATTCTGGAAAGAGTGGATTCGAGAAGTGTACCTGTTGTTAGTACCACAAAAGAAATGGCAAGTCGAACAATGTAATGTACAAGTGAACGACGTGGTGACGTACACTGATAACGCCATACGAGGGAAGCGGATGCTTGGAAGAATCTTCAACGTGTATCCGGGTCAAGATGGAAGAATCAGAAATGTAAAGACATCTGTGGGACAGTACATCAGATCAGTAACGAAGATTGCGGTGATTGCGGTGTGGGGAGGATGTTTCATTGGACCAACAGATATACGTATGTTTTAGTTAAACATTAGTATAGAAACGTTTTGAGATTACTTAATTTGATTGACATTTAAGAAATATAATAGTTTTGTTATTTGAGACCGCATGTTAGAAGGATGCAAAATGTAAGAGATCTGTAGATCGAGTCTGTTTAACTGTGTTTCTATTGAAATACTTATTGCTAACCTGTTTTGAAGAGTACATTGAGAATATTAAGAACTGCTAACCTGATTTATGTTAATTGTAAGACTGGATATTGCAACAGAAGTAATATTATACCAATATTCAGTCTCTGGTGTGTTTTATCGTCCCCACAAACTAACCATCATTTGCTTCTGATTCAGAAGTTGAGTCAAATAGTCCTGCTGTGCATGTATATAAATGATTTCTTAATTCATGCACAAGGAATTTTTCTAGGCACCCATTACATGTCTGCTTGCCCTGCACTATCTTTTCTGGCTTAAGAGGCTTGTAGAAAGGTTTTCTGGATTGGTCGAACATAAATCTTGGACTGCATACCATGGTTTGCTTTTAGATTTTTAACAGCCCAATGAAACATCATTAGTTTCCTGCAGTTTGATTGGCACTGTACCAATTTGAACCCTCCCCCGACTTTACGTTTGTGGGAAGCCCAGTGTCTCATCTTCCACAAGTTTGTCTGACATGATTTTTGAGCAACCTGGGTTTTGTCATCATCAAGTAAAAACCTTTTTCAACCCCCAACCTCCATTGTGTAGAAGGTGCTTGCATTTGGTATGCTGGTTTGTTGGTGATCAGCAAGCAAAAAACGTGAGCCATCCACGTTCTACCAGAACCTCTTTCTGCTAGCCACTCTTGAATGTCAAAGATTAAACAATCTTGCACGTTCGGATGCGACTGGCACAGCAATTAACTAGATGATAGGGTTGCACTTGATGAAGTATTGTTTTCAGGAGTAACATTTAGTAGACCATTCTTTCCTCAACATGCTTAACGTAGACAAATCCAATTGCCAATAGTTTGACCACAGAGCCAATTCTGCATCCGGCATAGCAATAACTATCTCAGGATTAATTCTTTCTTTCAGAAACCTTTCACGTAAAGTAGAAAGACCAGTGCTTCCAAAACTTTATCCATTTGTATTTTCCAATAATTTCTATTTTCCAATAATATATTACAATAATAAGCTGAAATATTTGATCAACAATGTCAATGATATTGCATGTGTTTACTCTTTTGTTCTCCCAGATATACTTGTTCATGGTGGGAAAGGGAGAGCGGAAGCTACAAAGTGGAAATGAATTTGCACATAAAGATATGTTGCACATAGCAGAAATGAAGTTTGCGCATAACGAAGTTGCACATATTGAAGTTTGCACACAATGAGTTTACACACAATGAGTCTACACATAACAAAGTTGCATATAATGAAGTTTGCACGTAACAAATTTGCATATAATGGCAAATTGACAGCATAAAATGATGTTTGTCCCACATATATTTATGAATTGTCACCATGTAATAAAAGATGACCACCATGTTAAAAAAGAGTTGCCAGTGGCAAAATACGGGTGGCCAGACATATTGCCAAAAGACACTTTGCTGAAAGACATTTTACTGAACAGATGATTAGCTGAACGTACGTTTTGCCGAATGGACAGTTTGCCGAAAATAGAGATATCTCTGAACTTTAAAGGTTCGCCTACACTGTCAAAGTTTCTGTGATTAAAGTCATTGTCAATTTTGATGACAGAAACTTTGATAGTTTTTCAAGTTCACCGTTTTTGACAAGTTCACCGAAATTTTGTGATATAAAGAATAACCTCATTCAACATCATTCATGAATGCAAATGAATAAGCTACCAATAGTCAATAAATTATGGTTATGCACTGCTAATGACCATATATATGTACTATTTAAAGCACGCATAGGAGTGTTTTATCACATATAGTGTTTTATATATGTGATAAAACACGACTACAAGTGCTTTAAATTGGTTAAAAAATAAAATAAACTTTGTCTAAATCATTAACATGATTTTTTATCACATATATAAAACCACGACACGCTTATGATTTTTCTTTGTGTTTTGCCTCTCAATTATTAATGAGTTTTTGAATTATATTTAAACTTTTCTCGTGAAATAACTAAATAAATAAAAGGATAACACATCAAAATATGTCGCACAAGAAAGTGACACAAGTGGAAACAGGATAAAATTCCAATTGACTTCCTCATGAAAAATGTGTATTTGTTAAGATAATTAGCATACTTATATAAAATTCAGAATGTTTTGCACTTTTCTGTGCATATATCGGTAATGTAAAAGTAAATGAAGTGCCACCTCCAACAGAAGTCCTGAAAGATCTGTATGTCACAACCCCATTAGCAAGAATTCAGATCTTGCTCCCCCAGGATAAGGTATCTTTGTTATAAAGCCTTTTGCAAATATTGATTCACATTTGACATTTCCCACAAAACACGTACAGTAGTGTTTCAATTGTTGTACTTTCTTTAAACCAATGTATGTACATGTACATTAATTAACTTTACTTCGGTGTCTAATTCACACTAAGTGAAGTTTGATTACTTTTTGTGTCTTGGTTTTAATGAAGGTGATGATGTGGTTTGAACATTTACAAGTTGTGCAAGCAAATAGAAAAAGGGGCAGCTAAAGCAGCAAAAACAAGAAAGGAAAAAGCCCAAAAGAGGAAACAGACTGAAGAGAAAGCAAAGTTAACTTACTATTGTACTTGGTAGAGCACACTACCTTCTAACCAACATGATCTGATTGAGTCAGATCACCACAGCTTAAAGATAGTTAATTATAACCTTGTTACGCAGAATATGCAAGCACCCTTTCTCATTTTTCTGTGTTTAACTCAACATCACAGTGCATAATAACATTTTACAATTGCACAATTTTGAACTTGGTTAAATATGTTACACACTAATCCAGAAGCTGTTCTGTTCGTGGAATTACACAAGATGGCACATATGCCACATCTTGTCCGTTGTGGTCAATTTACCATAAAACAGTTGAGATAATCTGGCCTAAATGAATCAAATACAAACTCATAGACAGGTCCTAGCCTGTATGTATTTGTGTGTGTTTATTGTCACCCAACGTCTGAAATGAGACAGAACAACAACCATTCAATGTATATAAAAGCAAATGATTTAATGAGATTCAGCTAATATAGCACCAGAGTGTTTGCCACATGTTTTCCCAATTACAGCGAAAATCGGTGCAAGAGACAACTAACAACAATTTAAAAGACCAAGGGACCTAGCCCTTTTACATTTAACACACACAGATTTCCGAGTTTGTGGATCGTCATAATTATATTGGATAGCACATTTTTGTAGTACATCTTTAGTCCATATACAAATATACTTTATTTATACTTACTTATAATCACAGTGCACCGATTGAGGCTTTTGAAAGCCTTTTTTCCTTTATAACTATACAAGGACCACAACTTGTTTGTCCCCAACTTTGCCACGGTCCTTCTGACAGTGTCATCACAATTGTTTCCGCTCTGGCAGAAAGGTAGTTAACCTTTAAATTAAACAAAACAATTAAATATGTAAAAGCTTCAAAACTTAAATAAAACAAAAGTTATTCCGAATAAGGAGTGCATAATATTAACACACAATTTATTATGTTAATATTATGCACTCCTTATTCGGAATAACTTTTGTTTTTATTTTTGCTGAAATTATCAGCCGGAAAAGGATTCTTGAAAACTTGTACTCCACAATGGCATTCTACAATACTTGCAGTGCTAGTAATTGAAAAGATTTGCAATTACAGCATTTATTTTGCAATCTGTATCGCTGATTCTGATACCTAATTAAGTTCGATACAGAACTGTCAGAATACTTTGTGCCCATCTCATACTTGAGCTATAACTATAAACTGCATTTATGTTACAGGTGTACACATGTTTGCACATACCAAAATTTTATTATGGTTCGCACCCATCAATTTCAAACATAACTTGTCCATTTCCTCTGCTGAATCAAGTGGCCTTGTAAAAAGTTCCTCCAATGCATCACCAGTTGCATCCTTACCAGAGTTTTGATGAACATATGTTAGCATCTCTCTTTGATTCTCTATGACAGTGTGCAACTTCATGAGAACATGAGTTTGAAAATCTGTCAAAACAATCATACCTGTATTAAGCTTGCTCGATAAGCTTGCTTGCTTATTTTTATATATGCGATCAAAGTACAGATGATAAAGCTCAAACCTTTTAATATAAAACCTTGTGTATTGACAAGTTGTTTAACCCTAGAAAGCCCAACCTTGGAAAACCCCCTTCAGCAAGTGCAACAGAAGAGAAATAATTGTCAGCGAAGGCGTTGAAATTTTTCCCATCTGGCAATGAATCAGTCATTTTTTCTACAACCCCGCCAGATTGTCCCAGCTCTGAGACTTGGTCATCTGGAACAGGTTGGTACACGTCAAAATCATACATACATACATCTGAGTCTGATCGACCCCAAAGTTTAAAGCCCCACTTATGTGGCTTTTTAGGCATATAAACTTTGAGGCCAGATCTACCCTTGAATGGAATGATAATCTCATCAATTGACTGACATTCTTTTGGAGGGATTGGCAGAAAATTTTGCCTCATTGCATCAAGCCATGGACGAAGTTTCCAAAGCCTGTCTTTCTTAAGCTTGCTTGCTTATTTTTATATATGTGATCAAAAACCTTGGAAAAACCCCTTCGAAAATTAGCAAACTTGGTAACATAGCTCCAAATGGTGTAAGATTCATGTTCAAAAAATTTTTTTGATCTAAGTGGTTGTTGTACGCAGATTTTTTGTTTGGTATCAAGTATGTTACCACAGGCTTTGGTGGGTGAATTTTTTTAAATATGATGTTAAATTGATATGCTATGTAATTTGAAAAATAACCTGTTCATGGCATCTATGGTTATGCTCGACATGAAATTTTCTACTTTTTCTTATTTATTTACTATATGATATATCTAATTGACTAAAAATAATAATATTTATTATAATTAATATTATTAAATATTAATTATAATAATTATCATTGTTATTAATTAATACAAGTTTAAAATAATGTATAATATTATAAGTGTAAATCCAGTGTTTGTGATCTTTTTTTTTAATAACTTGACAATCTGTAAGATCGAAGGTCAGGACAACGGAACGGAAGTTCCCAATTAAGTCCCAAGACAAACACAAATACAGACGTACATAAAAACTATTTACAACAGTAAAAATTAATCACGATTGAAGAATGCTCGAATGGTTAATCTATTGAAACTCGGTTTGTGACAAATTTATATTAAAAAAATGTATCAAGAGTTATAATGAAAACTGAGCATATTAAGCATATAACAGATTAACCCATCGATCATGCTATGAGCACCTAGGTATGACGAGCAGCAGTTTATTTGCAGTGATCTACAATTACTGCATAGTGTTTTCCAAGTTCTACACCTATCTGCATCAAATACTGTAATCAGTTTATTAAAGTAATATTCATATAGTTTAGCTTTAAGGACGTATACAGAAGAAGAAGATTTAATATCACTAGGCAAGCTGTTCCATAGATACACAATTCTATTGAAGTACGAATTCCTGAAGAGAGTAGTTCTACATAGATTTGGACGCAGAAAGTCACCAGTACTGGAACGGGTCGACCGATGACAAGGTCTTTCGATGTACTTGTCAATGTCAAGATCATACAGCCCCGCTTTGCATTTATAATAGAACACAATGTCCTTTATTTGTAGGAATCAAGTTTAATTTCTTTAAGCGATGCGAGTAAGACGACTCATAGTCTTGCAGAATAACTTTCGTGGCATGACGTTGAACACTCTCAAGACGTAGCAGATCAGAGGATGGGCCCTGGCGTGCCCAGACTTCCGAGCCATGAGAGAACTGCGATCTAACAAGAGTTAAAGGTAGACGTTCGCAAGGTAGAAACAATTTCACCGAACAAACCCGAGCATCTTGTTAGCTTTTGATATCAAGTTATTTATATGCGATGACCATTTTAAAGTTTTGCTCACTAGGATTCCCAAGTCTATCTGAGTTATTTTAAATGGTATAAGTTGTTGATTGAGGTGGTATTCTTGAGGTTGTTCGGAACTTGTCTTGCGAGAAAATCGCATTGCAGCACACTTCGAAGCATTAAAACTGAGATCCCAGGTTAGTGACCAATGGTGTAAGGAATCGAGATCAGTTTGTAGGAGATTTCTGTCCTGTGGTTTCTCAATCTTTTTGTAGCATTTACTGTCATCGGCAAGCATGGGAACAACGCTGTGATTAGCTGCTTCGGTAAGATCATTTGCATATATCAAGAACAGGAGTGGACCAAGTATACTTCCTTGTGGAACCCCCCGAGGTGGCATGAAGGTAGGAAGATGCGACTGCGTTGACCACTACTCGTTGACATCTATTGCTCAAGTAATCCGAAAACCAATTTCAATAACAAGCCCGAAATACCGTGCTGTTGAAGTTGAAGTTTTGGATGGGAAACAGAATCGAAGGCTTCAAGTAAATCATATCAGCTTCTTTACCGCTGTCTAGAGCTTTGCCAATGTCATGAAAAACACTGAGAAGTTGAGTGGAGCAAGATCGTTTTTTGCGGAATCCATGTTGAAAGTCACTCAACGAAGGTTTAACAAACTCGGACATGTGGATATGGATGACTCGCTCGAGAAGCTTGGATACAATGGAAAGCAAAGAGATGGGTCAATAGTTAGAGACATCATGGACATCGCTTTGCTTTGCCTTGTGATAGTGAAATATTCAAGAGAGCAGTTAATGATGGAGAAATTTCGTCTGCACACTCTTTCAGTAGCCAGACAGATTCCATCAGGTCCTGAGGCTTTGTCGGCGGGGAGGCTTGATATGAGAAAAATTGAGGCGAAGAATCTATTAAAGGCATCAGCTTTACCTTCTGAGGATGTAAATTGCTTGTCGTTATAGACTAAGGTATCTGGAAAGGAAGGAAGATCTTGTCGTTTTTGAGCAAAAGAATTTCCAAAATTCTTTGGGTTTGTCTTTAACCAGGCTTGTCATGTTAGAAATGTATTCCTGTTTCTTAGTTTTGATCACACTTTTGATGTAGCGCCGCATTTCTTGAAATCGTTCCCAAAGGTGAGGCGAATTAGTTGCTTTGGCCCTTTTTCTCAACGTTTTTTTCTTATTCAAATAGTGAATAATTTCCTGAGTAATGTAGGGAGGCTTATAGGAAGACTTAATGACAATCTTCGGGATGAAGTAATCAACAGCGGAAAAGAAAGCATCTTCCCATTTTATCCAAGCGAGAGTGACATCAAGCTCATTTTCTACAATGTCTAATAATGGAAGACTTCTCAAAGCAACTCGCAGGGAATTAAAGTCTCCTTTCGCATAGTCGTAGACCGATCATTTTTCAGGATTTTTAAATTTCCTTATAATGCTAATGTCTGCAGTAATGGCTTTGTGGTCAGACTTTAAACTAACAGATTCTTCATCTGTAACGGTAATGTTATTAATCAAGTATTCGTTAGTAGTAAGGATCAGATCTAATACATTTTTACCACAGATAGGTGAGTCGATAAGTTGAAATAATCCTGAATCTTGCAACACGTCAGGAAAACTGCTTTCAACTGTTAAATCTGAAAAGCCAGAACCATTTAACCATTTAATTGAAGGAAGATGAAAGTCTCCAAGGATAATTATGTCCTTATAATTTGAATTACTTGCACACTTGAGAAAACGATTAAATTCTTGTTGAAATTCCACACCAACATTTGCAGGACGATAGCCTGCACAAACCAGCACCTTTTTGGAGACAGAATTGATAATGGCGTCTACCAACTCAAGAGACTTAGATGTAAAGTTAAATGGATCAGTTTTTATTGTATCATTAATTGCAAGTAGTACTCCTCCATCCAGTTTGACTTGTCTGTCACGTCTGTGAACAACGTAACCCCTAGTTGGAAATTGAACTGTCTAGCCATGTCTCTGTTAATGCTATAACATCAAACTGGTTGGTCGTGATAATATCGTGGAAACAAGACAGCTTGCTTTCCTTCAAGTTACCAGAGTTATCCCAATAAGTCTATTTCAGACTTCTGACATTTTGGTAGAACATGGTTAAAGTTCCGTTAACACAGTTACTGGGACCTGGGTTAGTAGCAATGTCACCAGCAAGTAGGATGCATAATAGAAGACAAAGATTTTTAAACTGTAAACCATAACCGTAATTAGAAGGAAGGTTAGATTTTCTTTGAATTTTGTCTCGTGTGGAAAGCCATAAGTTGCTTAGACGTTCAGTTGATGAAGTTAATGCTGGGGAAATGGTAACATCGGTCGATTGTCTGTCGTTGAACGTAATTGACTCAGGTTTAGATTTGCTGATAGCCAGAAAAAACTACGAGATACAAGATCCAAAATGAACATGTTTTGACGAAAGGTTTGTGAAATATAGGCATTTTTAAGTTGTAATATATGAAGTTTCCACAAATATCCAGTTGTTTCTTGTCACAATATATAGATCAATTCACTTTTCAGAAATATTTGCCCATTATTTGTAATACAGTAGAATGTTACGTTTAGTTTTTCAAAGTAGATGCCAAGCAAGCAAATAGCAATAAGTTGAGAATGTCAAGGCCTCGTTTTGGCTGAATTGGTGAAAAACCAGCTAGGATGAATAATTGAGGGAAATCCCTGTACACACAAATAATCAAGTGCCTGATTTCAAGTGTCAAAGGTTAACAGTCTTCTAGTGAACTTAAATTAATTTATGAAATGTAACAAAGCAGTTTCTATCTTTATTCAAACACAGGTGAGTATTGCACTCACATGATGTGTGAGAAAGCAGAATTCTTTCTTGAGCAAACCTTGCACCGTTGACGTGTCGGGTCATACATGGGGAAGTGGTCAAACTCGTCTTTCTGGACATCTTCAGGTACACCAACATACCTCTTCTTCTGGGACCTGTTTGCTTCCAAAATTTCCTGCTCTTCTAATGATGGGTGACCACATGTTCGCTTCTTTCCTTTGCCAGCTGAGGTCAGAGCATACACACAAGCAGCTCGAAATTTCCTGAGAGGGAGCACTTCTCCCCCATCTGTACTTTGCTCTTGATGGTACCTTCTGTACAGAAACCAGGAATTTACTAGAGCAAGTGTAAGTGAATGAAAGAATATATACATGTACAACCTACCTACAAGACTTTATATTGCACTTGTACAAGTTTGTACACATGTTTAGGGGTACATCCTCGGGTAGAAGAATTTGCATCACAGACTACGTCATCAGTTAGTTATAGCGATTAGTTTTGAGGTAAGGGTTAGGGTTAGGGTTAGGGTGAGGGTTAGGGTAAGGATTAGGCTTAGAGATAGGGATTTGGTTATATCTGACGCCACAAACAACACAACTAGCCGATCACGTGATCACTTCTCCTCTACCCGAGGAACTACCCATGTTTAGAAGGTCAATGCCTCCCATAAACTTATTGTACTCTTCCACAATCGTTGGCCTCTGGATTTGCACATGTTTCTTTTCCTTCTTATCCCAACGCTTTGCCTGTCATGGGTTCTCTCCCAACATAGGACGAAATAAGGCTGACTACTTTGTTGTCTTTCCACTGGACACATACCACATTCGTGTTTCTTTCAACCTGGGCAACACAATGTCCTCTAGCAGTCTTTTTCATTTCCTTGGGTTTCGGCAATTTATTTCCTGTCACACAATTCATCTTGACTGTGCCAATGTAATATATTTGGCGCTTCTTCAACTTTTCAGCAAGTGCGACAGAAGAGAAATAATTGTCAGCGAAGTCCTTGAAATTTTTGCCATCTGGTAATGAATAAGTCATTTTCTCTACAACCACGGGAGATCGTCTCAGAGCTGGGACGATCTCCCGTTACAGGTTACTACACGTCGAAATCGTACATAAATTTGGAGTCTGATTGACCCCAAAATTTAAACCCCCACTTACGTGGCTTTTTGGGCATATAAACTTTGAGGCAAGATCTACCCTTGAATGGAATGATAATCTCATCAATTGACTGACATTCTTTTGGAGGGATTTGCAGAAAATTTTGCCTTGTTGCATCAAGCCATGGACGAAGTTTCCAAAGCCTGCCTTTCTTTTCCTCATCTGTGATGGCATTGTTGTCGACAAAATGAAGCAATGTGACTAATTTAAGGAATCTATTACGAGATAGAACACTGGAAATCGGCTCAAAACCCAGCTCATTCTCCCAATACGGGCGAAGGCTAGGCATTTGGACCAGTCCCTTGGGTGATGCGGTTTCGTAAAATAACCGAAACCGAGAATCGTCACAAAATAACCGAGATAACCGGCTCTTTTAATCAATGAAATTATTTTGACAAAAATAAACAACATGTCTTGTGTGTTATCTTAAATATATTTATATAAAAAATAGACTTTAATTATTTACAATTGCTCAAACTTGTTTACAAGTTTTCCGCCAAGAAAACGGGCATGTCAACCTTTTCCGGTTTTAACTGTGCACGTGCGGGCATGCTGACAAGTCCTGCCTTACTAAAAAGACATTCCGACGGGGAACTAGAGGCTTGAATGGCCAAATACCTTTTGGCAAGTTGGCTTAAAAGTGGAAGTTCTTTATTGCGTTGCCACCACTTAAATGGATTTTCATTGCCGTCAATAACAAGATATTTAATGTAATGTTCGATTTCTGCAGACAAACGATTGCATGGTGACTGGGCTGCGGAAGGACGTTCTTTTGGCTTTTTCAAACTTGTGAGTGCTCCGAGGCTCAACTTCATTTTCTTTGCTGACGGTTCTGGAGTTGTATAATCATCGCTTCTTTGTGTTGAAGAAAAACAGCTTGCTCAAGGAGTCTCTCTTGAACCACGTTAAGTTCTGACTGCTCAGCTTCATCTGCTGTTGTGAGGAAATCTGTGATGTATCTCGGGTCAATGAATGAGGTCACATCCATCAAAACTTTCAGATCTTCTGCCACGTATCTTGACTTTAAACGGCGCAGAATTTCTCGTTTCAGTTGACATGCTAACGGGGGGTCACTATCTTGGCTGGCCAATTCGACAGTAGACAATCTGTGGAGAATAGGCTTCAGCACACTGATGGTCACATGCTTGCTGACAAGATATCGGTAAATGCCTTCAGAGGAGACAGTGTGTTGTCGATACACTCCAAAACCTCGAGATCTTGCCATGATGGTACTAGGTGGGATGTATCTTTATCGTTTCCCAGGACCCTTCTAATCGCCTTCTTATTCGCCAAAACACAGCTGATCATGTGGAGGGTGGAGCCCCATCGTGTTGGACATTCCTATAAAGAAAACGTCAACAAAAAAGTTGTTTAGTCTTAACATGTAATGTTACCATGTTTTGTGGTAACTGATAAGTCATGCCTGTCATGGCAACATTGTTAAAACTGTCGTACGCGAATCGTGTACAACCTGTTATTATGACAAAGACAAACTTACCGATGCCAATTTCTTTACTTTCTTTCCAGGTTCTTCTTGAACTTGTGCAGCTTCTAGATTTCTGCGTCTCTTCCAACTTGTTACAAATGCAGCAACAACTTTCTTGCAAATGAAAGATGAAGATTGTGACCGAAACATGGAACGTTCAACCAGTTATTATCTCTGCAGGCTTTTTTAATATTCGCTCCGTTGTCTGTAGTGATGGCGACTTGATTTAATTCATCCAACTTCCAGTGCAACAACATATCATTCATACTATGGGCAATGTTATAATAATGCCAAGATGTCTGTTTCTTAAATTCCACTCGCTATCTACCCAGTGCAGCACGAGTCCCATGTAAGGAGTGAGGCCATGGGAAGACCACATGTCTGCCGTCAAAGAAAAAAATTCAATGTCGTTCAAACCTGCCATCACAGATTCTCTCGTGCAGTCATAAAGTTTTACCACTTTACTTCTGGGAACTTGGTATCGTGGCTCCAAGACATTCAGTAAATGCTGAAAACCGAGTCTGTTGACAGTGTTGAAAGGAATGTTGTCTTTGCACAAAAAGTGTGTAATTGCATCGGTAATTGTCTGATGGCTGTACCGATGTCTGCAGTACTGATGTTTTTCTCTCCGGAAACACTGAACTGGATGTTTTTTCAACATACATATAGAGGTGAAACTCCTGGATTTATCATGCGGTCACTCGATTTTAATGAGTTAGATAGGAAAATAAAAAGTTTTTCATAAATCATTTTGACATTTTAAGACTTTTTAAAAAAGAAATTGGTATTATAAGCAATTTTTTTTCTGTTTTCACTGAAAAACTAGTGTTAAACGTACGTTTTCATGAACAATATTTCGGTAAAAACCAAATTTAAATGGAGAACGTAGTGAGCAAAATGTAGCCCTCAAACAAATATGAAAATGATGTCAATGAGCCATATAATAAACTCCTTATTAACCTTGTTTGCTCGGGCTGTATGGGAAAGTATTTGCCTTCAGTTTATTTGCACAGACCTCGCTCCTACTACTTGCTCCTAGGTCTGTACAAAAACCTCAGGCAAATACTTTCCGGTACAGATCTTGTGCTCGGTTAATAAGTAGTTAGAATTGGATATTCTAATTATATCATGTAAACTATAAATGCTAATAAATTGTCTTCTTAGAACTTCTTAATTATTTATGCTACCGCACAATACCTTCATCTTCAGCATAACCTATGCTCTTCTGTGCCTTTTTTGCTGATTCACTAGCCTTAAAATCGGAATTAGAGTCATCATCTGAAAAGGTTGATGTTTCCTCAGCTTGTTTTGTACTCTGAACTGCCTTCGTAGCTACCTGATAACAAACAAAGGACTACCTTACACACTTGTAACATAAAATATTAAGAAATATTGGAATCATATTTGCAACAAGTTATTCTTGCAAACATATGCACACATACAGATCACCTGGTGGCAAGCACAGTCCAACAAAACATGCCAAGTGGAAATGAAGTGTGTCAGAGCAGTCTATTGCAAGCTAAAATCCACTTGGAAATCAGTGCAATAGTTTTACCATCATTTCAATACTTATCAATCTCATATCAAATTGATATTTTATTT